TATATATATATATATATATGAGCCATTAAAAATCATTTCAACTAGCTAGGGAGATAATTAATTGTATCGTGGAGTCTAAATAGATAAATTTTATAATCAAGAAATAAATATTACTTCCTACAAGAAACAAATAACTAGTTTATTTAAATCAACAGAAATATTTATGATAACTAATTTTTATTAATAATGTCAACTAATTACATTTTATTTTAAAAACAGCCTTTCAATTAATTAGTTTAAATGCATAACATTATATATAGTGATGTTTATCTAATATATATACATCATAACATATTAATTTTACTACTATTTTTTTAATAATATACAGTGATGTTTATCTAATTGATACAACATTTAATGTCTTTTAAAGTTTTAATTATTAATATTATAATTAAGTCTTTACAACCTATCACAATCTATTAATAACTCTCAATTATTATATTTATTTTTTATTCATTTTTTTTTGTTTTTTTACAAAGATGTTTTATGTTCTTATTTAATCATTTTAACTACTTTTGGTTTATGTAAATAGTTAACTATAATTACTATAGTGATATCATGTTGGTGTGTAACATTTTTAATTTTTTTTTTGTAGTTCTTTAAAATAGATATTATTTATATACCTTAAAATCATCGTTAGGGACTAAAAATAATAATTTTAGATTTTAGAGGATGAAAATTAAAAAAAAATATTTTATGAGAAGTAAAAACATAAATTCACTCATTTTACAAGACCAAATTTTATTTTACAAGAACTAAAAATAATATTTTTAAATTTTAGAGGGATGAAAAATATATATAAAAAAATTACAGGGATCAAAATCAAAACTCATTTTTACCGTAAATTTAAATATATTTTTAGTCTCTATATAAAATGAATAAGATTTAATTTTGGTCTTTGTAAAAAAAATTCTTTATTTTTCATCCTTATAAAATTTGTAAATATTTTTTTTTATTAAGATTAGTAAATTTTATTTTTATCCTTGTAAAATGAGTAAATTTTAATATCATTCTTGAAATATATATATAATATATATATATATATATATATATATATATTATTCGTCTAAAATCGAAAATCATTATTTTTTGTCCTTAACAACGATTTTAAGATATATAAATAACATCTATTTTAAGAATTTATGAAACATTTTAGAGGTATCATATACTAATATGATATCACTAATAGTTATAGGCAAGATTTGTGATGATCACTTAATCTTTTATTGAATAAACAAGTAGTTAAAATGACTATATAACAATAAAAATTATAAAAAAAGTATTTCTAAATTTTAAAAATATAATTTTTTTTATTTATAAATATTAATATCAAATTATATTCAACCTTTTAATTATTTCTAATAATCATGATTTCAAAATTCATAATTCTTGCATCATGATTTTTGAATGTGAATTTTTTTTCATGTAAAAAAAAATTCTCTTAAATCAAACATTTCCTTCAAAATCAACAAATTTATCATATAATAAATTTGAGAGAGTTGACCAAGGAATAGCTTGCAATAATGAGGAAGGTTTGTTAAATCATGCAATAATATACTGTTACATCTTTAAAAAAATAATAAACGATACCGGTTGAACTATTTAAATACTGTGACCTAATCTTATTTTAACATATTATTATTATTTTAGTTAAAGCCTGAGGTAAAAGAATCCAAAGGAGATGATCTCTGACGCGCAATTGTGCAAAAGCCAAAAGCAAGTATGCGGTTTGCGTAGAATATGCTGTATGCGAAGATTACTTTTATGAAAGTGAGTCAAAATTCGTGTTATTATTTCTCAACGACCCCCATATTCCACAAGAACGGGATAGTGACTTCTCACCAAACCCCTTCATTCAGTCTAAGTAAACTTAATATATAAATATAAATTAATATATATATATATACTCATTTAATTATTTATGTTGCAACATTAATTGGATTCTTTTAATCGAGTAATAAGTCTATCTAAATTTACTCATTTAATAATTTATGTTTTATATCAAATTTCAACAATCAAACTGTTCAATTTGAAGTTCTTAATATACAGAACAAATTTGTAAATTTTTAGAAAATTTAAAAATTATTATTTGAATTAATGAAACGAAGTATCAAATAATTTTTAAATTTTCTAAAAATTTATAGATTTGATCTATGTATTAAGAACTTCAAATTAAACGGTTAGATCGTTAAAATTTGATGTAGAACATGAGTTATTAAACAGAGTAAATTTAGGTAGACTTATTTCTGAAGTAAAATGATGCTCCTCTCTCTATATATATATTATTTCATCTACTTTAAATCTTTAATATTACAAATTAAAACTTTGAAAAATACTTTCTCACAATGCTTAATCCCTCGAATACACATTCATAATATTTCTATCTTCTTCTCTTACACATACAATTTGGGATCTTATTGGTAAGCAAGATTTCAACAATTGAATCAAATATATAAAGTTTCACTACAAAAATCAAACTCCCTAAATTTCTCTTCGTAAAATACAAAAATGAAACTGGAGTATATATTTAATAGAGATCGTAAGGAAAAGATATGAAGAATATATTACTACTACATTCTTATTTATAACACTTAATTACTTAAAACTGTTACTTTGATGCATGTTATAAATAACACATTTTAGTACCCTCTCCATCATTATTTAATGGTATTCACATCATTTAATATATTATTGAATATCATTAATGTATTAATATTACAATTAAGTCTTATAATCTACGTCCTCTAGACTTATATATAAATAAATAATAATAATTTTATATAGATTAAGGAAGGTAGTTAAATATATTTAATTTTTAAAATTTTATATAAAATATATAATTAAAATATCTTTAATCACATTAATTAAAGATAATATTCTCATTTATTGTCTTGAGTGTATTTTTGGATTAAGAGTATTAAATTAAAAAAGTTGATTTGGTTGTTGTTTACTTATATTTGAGTAAAAAACTTTATAAACATTTTATTGCTTATATATAGGTTTAGTGGAAGTATTAATTACTCTTTTAACTCTTTTAATTTTTATCTTTATCTTTTTTATTCAAATGTTATTTTCTCTTTTTTGAATCCATACAAAAACTAAATAATTTTTTTCACAACTAAATATTTTTAAATAACTATTTATTTCTTATTTTAAAATATTAATTAAAATGAAAATTTCTAAAATTATTTTAATTTCTTGTATTTTAATTAAACAATATAGGATAAATATATCTAAACTTATATTCGTACATATATAAGTATAATATTTTTATCTTTAATTCATTATATTTAATTATTTTTTTAATATTATTTTATACTATTTTAAATTATTAAGAAATTATTATTTAAGTAACTTATTTTTATTTTTTAACTTATAGTATTAATTCATGATTATTAATATGAGTTAATCACCTATATACATTGCTAGTGTAAAGTTTTTTTACACTGACAACTAATTATATTTTTTAATTGTGTCATGTCATTGTAAATACATTTACTTTTAACAGTGACGTGACACAATTAAAAGATATAATTGATTGCTAGTGTAAAAAAATTTATACTAACAATGTATAAGTGATTAACTCTATTAATATTATTAATACATACACGCTCACACACACATACATACACATATACACACACACACACACACACACACATATATATATATATATGGGGAATGCTAATTTTCTAATTAATATTCATATATTTGTAAACCAATTAGAATACAAACTCTATATTATTTTTTTTCTTAATTAATACTTATTTTTTTTCTGAATTAACTAGTAATTAGAATGCATGTTCTTTAAATAATAATTAATGCACTGTATTTTTCTTTGAATAAACATATGTTGGTGAAGATAGTGAACGGTTATTAAGAGATTAAAAAAAATTATATCAAAATACCTTTTCACTTTTATTAATTATTATTATATAATTTTTTAAAGATCAAAATTGTCAACAATAATATATACACTAAAATAATTATATATATATATATATATATATATATAAATATAAATGTATTTTTATTAAATTAAAAAAAAATATTTTAATCATATATATATGTATCCATCCATTAGTATTATAACAATAAATATAATGACTATTACCTATTTATCTACCAAAAACCAGTTTGTAGCACCAGGCCTCCATCATATATTTGATCTTTGTAGTTAAAATAATGAATTTAAAAAAAAAGTCCCCCTCTATAAAAGGTGACATAATGAGCTAAAAGTTTCATTGCATTTGGAACTGTGATGGCTCCTCCGATAGAATCAAACACAAAACATGCCAATGGGAGACGCGAGTATGAAGAAGAAGATGATGAGCTTGCGTTTTGCATGGAAAAGATGGTTGCGTTTGTGGTTCCAATGGCTTTGAGGACTTCGTTCGAGCTTGGCATATTTGACATCCTGGGCAAAGCCGGTGAAGGTGCCAAACTCTCTGCAAAAGAGATTGCACTTGAGATTGGGAGCAACAACCCCCAAGCTCCTGCAATGCTCGATCGTCTTCTTTGCCTTTTGGTTAGTCACTCTTTGTTATCTTGCTCTGTTTCTCAACAACCACCACATCAGAGGCTCTTCTCCCTCGCCCGTGGCTCCAAATATCTTGTTACTGATCCTCACGGTGTATCATTGGGATCCTCCCTCACATTGCTTCTCGATGAGGTCTTCTACAAAAGTTGGTTAGTACGTCGTCTTTTATATAAACATGTTTTTAGTACAAAGTATTTATTTGTTTTTTTTATTTTTGTCTCAGGAGCGAATTAAAAGGATCAATACTAGAAGGGGGTGTGGCATTCGATAGGGCTCATGGCATGCATGCCTTTGAATATCCAAGCGTGGACCCCAGGTTTAATGATGTTTTCAACAAAGGGATGACAGGCATCACCACTCAAATTATGAAGAGGATTCTTGAATTATACAAAGGTTTTGAGCATGTCACGAAGCTGGTGGACGTTGGTGGAGGACTTGGGGTCAATCTCAAATTGATCACATCCAAATACCCTCATATTCAGGCTATTAATTTTGACTTGCCTCATGTCGTACAACATGCCCCCGACTATGCTGGTATTAATTTATTTTTTCATCAATATATATATAAATTCTGCATATACAAACCAATACTCTCTACTAATTAATATCTAATCCTTTAGGTGTCGAGTTTGTGGGAGGAGATATGTTTCTGAGCGTTCCTTCTGGAGATGCCATTTTTATGAAGGTCAGCTTATTAAATTAACTTTTCCACGAGTTATATATCCATCTAAATATAACTATATCATATCCTAGAAATTCCAATCTCTGCTGACTTGAAAGAGTGAAAATTAACTAACTGTAATATTTAAATAGTTAATATCAAATGAGTAATTAAAAACACATTAATTTATAACAAATAACATTTAGTCTTTCTTTACCAAGAAAAGTATATTACGTATTACTATTAGGAGTTTAAGACTCAAGTGTGTGGTGCAAATATTTCAGTGGATACTTCACGATTGGAGTGATGAACATTGCTTGAAGCTGTTGAAGAATTGCTACTCGGCTATTCCAGAAGATGGAAAGGTTATAGTGGTGGACTCAATTGTGTCGATTGTGCCCGAGACAACAGCTACTGCGAAGGGAGCTTTGGGATCTGACCTCGTAATGATGACCCAAAATCCAGGAGGAAAAGAGAGGACCCGCCAAGAATTCATTGAATTAGCAGAAGGATCTGGATTTAGCGGGGTCACATTCATATGCTGTGTATGTGGCTACTGGGTTATGGAGTTCTACAAGTAGCTACTAGCTACCTAGCTAGCTCCCCAAAATAAAATTGTTCTTCTTATATTAATGCACATGTATGCAGAGTGTTGGGGATTAGAAATTTAGAAACTTCGTTTACACGTAATTTCTTTCCTTTTTTTTTTTTTTTTTTTAATAAAGGTTACTCGTACACATAAGCATTCTAGCTAGCATCCTATAGTATGTTAATTAAGAGTGTGAAAGTAGAACAAGGAAAACTAGATATACTGGAAAATCTAAGTTAATCATGTTATTATAGAGATTGTCCTGAAATTATTGAATATATCTTAAGGGCACTAGTCCGTTTGTTGAGTAATGCTATTTGCTCTTTTTGTTTTCCTTTCTTTTTTAATATTTAAAGGTAAGCTTGAAATTATATCGAATCCATTTTCCTGTTCACCTACGGAATCCATTATTTACCAAAAAAAAAAAAGAGAGTCAAAGAAATAGAAAATTGGTCAAGAATGAATAAATAAAAAGTCAAGATATAGCGGGTTAACGAATTTTTTTTATAACATTAGTTTAATTTTTAATTTTTTATTAAAAAAATAAAATCAACTTAAATTATTTATCATTTTTTACTATTCTAAATATAAACATGTTATTATTAATAAATATTAAAATATATTTGATTTGAATATTAGTATATACCTTAAATATTAAAAATGCATAAAATTATGCATTATTTAAATTTTTACTATTATTAAATTTTTATATTATTTTATGTATTATTTAATAATTATTATTTTATAAATATTGGTTCAACTATGGTTCAATCATAGTTGAACTATTAAACCTTCAACTAGTATCTTAACTAATCTCATTTTAGAAATATTTTTTTACTAGTATTTAATGGATGAAGGTATTTTGGATTGGTTTAGATTCAAGATAAATTTTAAATTTAAATCAATTAAGCTTAATTAAGTTAATTTAGTTTCAGTTTTGAATTCTTTGGATTAATCAAATTAACTAAGATCGAGTTAATTTGAATCAAATAATTGAATTATGATAAGATTTTTTATAAGTTTTGAACCGACTTTTTAAAAAGTTTATTTGAACTTATTAACATGTTTAAAAATTTATTTTATATTAATTGACAAATTAATAAATTTAATTAACCCCAAACGTGTAGTTCTGCGGTAGAGGTTGATCCAGCTTAAGCAAGGTCAGGGGTTCGAATCCTGCCTTGTGTATGCAGCCGCGTTAAATCTTGAGGCCAGCTATCACACTCTTTGAGGTGCCTCCAACGTAACGAGGAGATTAGTCACGCCTATTGAGAATACTTCAGGGACGAATAAAAAAAAATTAATAAATTTAATTTTAAATAAATCAATAAATTTATTTTTAAATACACAAACAAGTCTTATTTTTAATTTGCATAATAAAAAAAGAACTGATATTTTTAATAAATGTGCTAATCTTTAAATAGAACAAACTATAAACTACTATTTAAAGTCTGATATATTTTCATCTTTAATTATTAAATCAATTTATATTGAAAAATGGTAAATTTAAAAATCAAGTTAATTATAATAATTAGGTTGGTTAAAATTTTTAAAAATAATTAATTAAATGGTTCCAAATTAATTTAATTAATTTGATTAATATTATTGAAATAATCGTGTATGACATTAAATCAATTTGGATTGAAAATGATAAATTTAAAAATCAAGTTAATTATAATAATTAGTTTGGTTAAAATTTTTAAAAATGATTAATTAAATGGGTCCAAATTAATTTAATTAATTTGATTTAATATTATTGAAATCATCGTGTATGACATGATGAAGGCCCTAATTTTTATTAATTCATCGTGGGCAAATTTTGATATGCATGGTGCCCTGCCCCAACTGTTGTTGGGTTCTATATATTTGTCTATTTTCTTGAGTTGAAAAAGTTGAATGCCTTCCACACCACACCACTGCTTAAACTAGAGATTGATGAATGATGATCTCATCCACTCATCGGTCAAGAAAATACATTTTTATTGCTATTCGAATACAGTTGTAGAGATAGAGATCACAATTCACAGGTCTATTCTTCATATGTCATTTGCACTCGCGTTTCTCGAATTTCAGAGGTTCAATTTTTTTAGGTTATTGGACTTTTTTACTATGTTAAAATTTCTCATGCAAGCCCAGTAAAAAAACTGAGGATATGATTTTTATGCTTTTAAAACTGTTAATCTCTAATTATTGAGAGAGATATAAAAAATAAAAATAAAAAAGCTAAGGAAAAATTTCTGCCAACAAAGACGTTTTATGAAGTTCAACTGATGCAATAGAAAAAGCAAAGCAGCCTTAATTATTGGGCAACTTCATTAGAATTCAATGTACGACCTGTCAATGTTGAACACAAGAAATTTAAAACAGAAGAAGCATATCATGGGCATGGCCAACGTTAGAATAACTTTAATTGTGCCACGCAATGGCAGAGGCAGCCAATAGGTAGGTTCGTTGTACTTTTCAATTTTCATGACTTTGCAATCAACATTTCAACATCTTTGCCAAATTCTGAGAAGGTGCCAATATTCTCTCATGAGTCATGAGTGCTTCTAGAGTGAAATTTACTGTATAGATAATATTTTAATAAATTAATAATATAAAAATAAAATGTTTTAATTTATAATTTGTTAAAAATAAAGAGGTTAAAATGAGCAGCAGTCAAGCCTCTGTGTGGTTTTGTATGAGTGGTGGGGTGTTTGGGTAATTGTGAGGACATTGTTATGCAACCAGAGAGTGGATGATGGGTTAGGATACCTCTGTCGGAATCTTACATTCAAGAGAGGCCAACACAGTCTCATTTTAATTATTTTCGTCAAGGAAATGAAGAGCCGTACACTTCAAAACGCCTAACAGTCAAATGCACACTTTTTCTTTATTCAAGGATAAATCTGTAAATTCAATTCAATCATTCAATTTTTTATTATATATCCCATGCTTAAAAGGGCTTGGAGGCCCGGGTTCAAATATTTTAAGAACAATTACACTGGTTTTTCTGAGATTCGGTTAGTGGTAATCATGCTTTCTTTGACTCCCAAATTGAACCAACTTCCTTTAGTTTTATGCATCGGTATCTTTCATCAATTTTAAAAAGCTATGCATATATACCTTCTTTTAATTTTATGTACGGACTATATATACCTCCTTTGACAAAGCAAGTAACATGTATGAAACACTAATGAGATATTAAATAAAAGTATCCCTTTAGGTGGTTTATCCATTTTCAAGTAATAGTATAAATAAACTTAAATTAAATGCTTGAAATTTTGTGAATTAAACTTACATTCATATCCAATATTTAGATGTTTAATGAATGATAATGAGAGTTGTTATGAAAAGTGATACAGTGTTAAGTTTTATTGGTTATGGTGATTTTTGAACGTTGTGATTTATTTGACATTCAGTATGTTTGGATTAGAGTTTAACTCTAATAATCATACATTTAACCTCAAATAACTTGTCTTTTACTTCTACGTTTTTTGCTTTAAAAAATATAAAATATTATTAATGTTATATTAAACGTGTTTTCAAACATACACGTCGTCAATCCACTCCGACAATGAAAAAAATTCCTCAGTCACAAAAAATGGTAACCTTCCTATAATATCTAGGATGGCAAATATATCCGTACCCGCGAGTAATATCTGAACCCATCCCGATTTTGACGGGGAATACTCGGTTTGACTGGGTACGGGTACGGGTACGAGTAAAACCCGATATATTAAATCGGGTACGGGTACGGGTATGTACTTACCCGTCCCCGTTTTCATTTTTAATTTAATATTCACTTTCAATTTAATTATATTAAAAAAATTTAATATTTTTTAAAGTGTGATTATTTATTATAATATGAGATAAAAAAATAATCTAATTATAATTATAATATTAAAAAAATCATTTTAAAAAATCATTTTTTTACAAAAAATAAAAAATAAAAAATTTTACGAGTACGGGTACGGGTACGGGTATACCCAATACCCAACGGGGACGGAAATGAGAATGAAAATCTATACCCGACGAGTATGGGGACGGGACGGGGATGAGTTTAACTCGCGAGGACGGGGACGAGTATCATGAAACCCGTACCCGACCCGCCTCGTTGCCATCCCTAATAATACCTAAACAAAAATACCCTCTCTCTCTCCGTTACCGCCATCCTCTTCATCACCAAAAACACCTCTTTAGCATAAAATCCCACATAGTGCACAACAAAAAATCAACATACTTATTTGCTTATGCAATTCTAATCATTGAAGAAAATCATACATGCACCCAAAACAGAACAAAACAAGAAAATAGAAGAAAATTAAAAATAACACAAACAAAATCCACGGGATCCGAAACCCACCACCATCTACAATCAGACCAATTAGTACAATTCTTTTTTTTTTTTTTTAAAACAAATACATAAAATTGGAACAACCAAAGATCTAGAACAAAAAAAAAACTGTAAGAGTGTAAATAAAAACAAAACACAAGAAAATATTTTTATGATATATATACATATACTAAAAATAATAAATTAGAGTAAGTTATGTTATTTTTTATTTTTAATAATTTTCTTATAAAGATATAATTTAGTCATTTATGTTAATTTATAATTTACATATCATGACATTTTGTATTTTATATTATATTAATTTAAGAATTTTCTACTCTAAATGTAAAATTGTTAATATATATTGTTATATTTTATTAAAATTTAAACTTAAATATTATATTTAAACTTTTACATGCACTTTAAACAATAAAAATATATAAAATAATATCTTATTTTAGTTTTAATTTTATAAAATTATGATATTATATTTATGTAACATTATTTTATCTATTATTTAAATATTATTATTATTTTATTAATATCAATCCTATCACAATTAAACTATTAAATCTTAAATTAATATCTTAATTAGTTTGATGACTAATCTAATTTTAAAAATATCGATTCAAATAGATATTTTTTCTTTGAGATTTTTTTTTACAACTTATATTGACTTACTATCATAAAAATAAAGTTGTAAACATGTAAGATTAAAGGGTTTGCCACTTATTAGTAAGTTTATGTCATGAGAAATTACTGCAAATATAAAACGATAGTTTTTTTCTTTTTCTTAACGATCGATTATTTTATTCTAAAGTTTTATTTTATTCTTAAAACTTTCCAAGATGTCTTTTTTATAGAGCGATGTTGTCTCATGGTTAGTTCACTTCACAAGGAAAAGTCTAGAGAGACCATTATATTATGGTCCACGATTAGTTCACTTCACAAGGAAAAGTCTAGAGAGACCATTATATTATGGTCCACGAACT